CCAGCCGCCACTGCCGCCACGGGCAGGCGTGGACCGGACCGAAGCCACTCGATTTCAACGTGAAAAATGCATTATGGGAATCGATGCACATCGCTAGTCCACTGTTGCCACCAGCTGCAGTTTCCAGCTCTTTGTTTAATTCGATTTCGAACACCCTAGAGTCCCTTTATACTGAGAGTCAAGACAATGTGAATCCATTTCTGATTGGTTCCCGTATTTTAGGCCTCCACAGTGTCACAAACGGGAATAAAGATTACATTTTCACCGATTGCAAAGATTATAATCTAGAATGGACCGGGGAATAACGGGTTCGACAAGGAACAAACGGAATCAGAGAAGGAACGGAGGAAGGAATATGAGGATGAGCCGATCAAAGATTACGAAAAACTGTCAATTTGTGTAATCTTTTTTCCCGTTTGTGACTCCATGAGGGGGGGGGGGTGTCTTGACTGTCGGTAAAATGGGGCTCTAAGACACCCGCACGAAAACGCGTGGAAAAACTTTAGAGTGCCAACGCAATCATTTGAATTATTGCGGTTTGAAGTTTCTATTTCAAGAAACGTAGTTTCGAAGGAACATTTTTTAAATGTTTTATTTCCTTGTTCAGAGCACCAGGCTGGCAGTGCCAGATTATAATGCAACAACTTGTCCGTTATCAGCCCGAAAATGAACTGAAACTGTCAAAATTTATTAGTATGAACGCCAGAGAGATTTATCCGTCGAAATGTCGAACACGATTTTTCGGTCGAACACGATTTTTCGGCCGAACTCGACGCAAATCACCCTCCTATAAATTTCGTCTCCGTGGACTGGAGACACAGACACGGGAACAGAAACTGAAGAAAGAAACATTCTCGAAACTCTTCGAAATCAAGCAATAGCAAACGTGTTCTTACAAGTCCTTAGTAGGACGCATTCTAATCAAAAGGAACTATATCCATCGTGAGACTTGAGCCTTGTCATGTATGTACTCCAACGGATTTCAAGGCTCATGTCACAATAGACATAGGTCCTTTTGCTTTAAATCCGTCCAATTTTGGTTCTCTTAAAGCTGAACCCCGGTCAAGTCCAACCCCATCCGTCCCATTTACCGCGGCAACATCGGGCAGTGTGTGTAGATGCGATGGGGGGGGGGGGTTGAAGGGGGGCCAGCGAATCTGCCGGGACCCGGCGAGCGATGTCTCCTGAATAAATGATAACTGTTTGATTTCAAATCGGATTCATCGGGCATTTGCGCCCCCTCCTCGCCCCCCCCGCCCCCCGCCCCCCGCTTAAGTGCGCTGACGGTTCTTTTGTTCAACGATTGCAGTTAACGAGCTGTGGCACGGCCCCGGGCGCCGAGTCTGCCCCGAAACGACCGGATTCCCCCTTCGTGCTCGGCTAAAACCGCGTATGCGCATAGGGTTCCCGTCCGGTGTTGCGTGGTTTCATCCGGCCCGCGAGGGACCGAAAGCGTGCCGAGTGAAAACGACGTATCTACACGGGGGTTTCGTCGGGAGCCGCGCGGTTGTTGCTTCCGACGAGTTTCCTCGAGCGCAGGCACCCGCGGCTGGAGCCCCGGTCGGCAAACATTCATCCCCCCACGCACCGCCTTAATTTTTCATTTTCCACTCGCGTCCCCGAGGAGGAGGGGGAGGGGTTTATTGGATGGGTAAATTTTGGAGTCCGTCGGAGGTCGGGTTCCCTGATTCCAGACTAGTTTTTTAAGCGAGTCCGGGACGCTGTGTGAAGCACGGAGACTGTGCCTTTCCCTGCTCAAATGAACTGAATTCAGCAGACGGAAAAACGGGAAAAGAACTCCCAGCATAAGTTAAATTAGAGGGTAAAAGGGCGATAAGGTAAAAAAAAGCAAGGTATTTAGCTAAAAACCACCGAAAACGCAATTTTTCGAAAATGTGACCAAGACCAGCCTTGAGTCGCGAATGAGGGTAGGCGGAAAAACTGGAAAAGAACAATCCCCATTAAGCTCAAACAGAGGAAAAAGGGCGATAAGGTTAAAAAGTAAAATACTGACGCTAAAATTACTGAAAACACAATTTTTGGAAAATGTGACCGAGACCAGCCTTGACTCGCGAATGAGGGTAAACGGAAAAACTGGGAAAAAAGAATCCCCATTAAGTTCAAACAGAGGAAAAAGGGCGATAAGGTGTAAAAGTAAAATACTGACGCTGAAATTACCGAAAACACAATTTTTGGAAAATGTGACCGAGACCAGCCTTGATACGCGAATAAGGGTAGCTCTAAAGTTTAAAAGTTTTTATCTGTAGGTACGCACCCCACTCGTGAAATCCTCCCTCTTATCAACCTCGATGGGGGTGACTGATCTTTCAGAGTCGATCTCGGAATCCATCCAACCGTACTCACGAATTTCAGAATGAGTCTTGTAGTCGTTTTAGAGCGGGCTTACCTATGCCTCTAACAACTAATTCCCGACCGGCCTTTTCCTGCTTTTCTCCCCGGCCCCAATAATTTTCCTTCCCCCTCTCCTTATCAAAACCTAAGACCCCATTCTCGCGTGCGACGAAACGACACTTTAATTCCTTCGCCGAAAACGAGTTTCCTTCCGATTGCCCCGTGCAAAAAGACCTAAACGCTTCGGTATTCCTCCACCGCTTATGCTGCTTTTCACGAACGAGGGGTTCGAATACCTCACTGTCGCCGCGTTATCAGCCGCAGCTCATCACCCGTTGTCATCGGCAGGGATTCCGCGGAGGGGATCGCGGGTCCCCTACGGCCCTAATCCCTGCACGCGTTCCATTGTTGTCTGCTCCAAGCTGGGGATTTGTGATTAGTGATGTAGAGGTCAAGATTACCGGCCAGGCTAAGAAGCCTATTTTCTACCCCTTCCCCCTGCCCCTCCCCGCCACGACTGGGCGAGGCATAAACAGTGATGTGTTAGTACTCACTCCGAACGCTTAACAACAACACCGCCTACCGACCAGCAGCGATGTGTTGTCGGATTGCCGGATTATTTCCACGTTTCGCCCTTGAATGAGGGGCTTTGGAGGACAAGGTACGAAAGTGCAGTTTTTCTAAAAAAAATTTAGATATTTATGACCAGCTAAAACTAGTCTTAAAATATGTACGGTGAAAAATTTGTTATTAAAATTAAATTTTTAAGTATCAGAATATGAGTTTGACCTCTCTTTTTGCCTTAAAGCTCCATATAACTTAGAAACTTCAAACACGTATTTCTTGAAGCGTCAAAATATGCACTTGTGTGCCTTTTTCTGAAAGCCCCTTAAATGTAGTTTGTGAAGCTCTCGATTCATCTTCTGAGTACATAATCAGGTTTAGAATGTTGTTCAGGGCCTGAAGTAGTTGGGATTCGTCAAGGAACAAAAATACCTGAAAAAGTAATGAAGATCGCCA